GAGGAGTGGCCCTGTTCGTTCGGGAGGCTTACTCCTTCAGGGCCCTCCCGGCCGCGAGGATCTCGGGCATTGAATGTGCTGGCTTTGTGTGGGAAGCTGGGGAGAGTTTGGCTGTTTGGTTAGTGTACCGTCCGCCCAACGCACCGGCAAGCAGCCTGCCAGCTCTGGTGGAGGCCGTGTCGGGCTGGGCGCTGGAGCACCCCAGACTTGTGGTGTTGGGGGACTTCAATGTCCATGCCGACGACGCGACCTCCACCCAATCTTTGGACCTGGCCTCGTCCATGGCGACGCTGGGACTCTCCTAATGTGTAACAGTTCCTACACATCAAGGTGGTCACACACTTGATTTGATCTTCGCGGCGGGGATTACAGTGGACTGGATTACTGCTTCGGCAGTTCCATGGTCGGACCACTATGCCCTGAAGGCCTGAGTGAACGTCTCACCCCAACCCTGTTTGGGCGGCGAGCCGATTTGGGCTCGCCAGCGGAGCCTGATGGACCCGGAGCGGCTTCAGATGGCTCTTCGGGATACACTGCCCCCTGGTGACTCGTTAGATGATCTAGTGGAGGGTTGGAATGACCGACTCTCCGCGGCCATCGAGGAGATCGCACCTAGACGTCCTCTGCGCCCTCGAGCCAGGCTGGCGCCCTGGTACACACCGGGGCTGCGGCTGAAGAAACGAGAGCTTAGACGACTAGAGAGACGGTGGCGGCGAGCTCGTGACGAAGCGTCAAGAACATCCTATCGAACGCTTATGAAGTCGTATGAGATGGCGGTCAAAGCGGCGAAGAAGGAGTTCTACGCAGCTGAGATTGCGTCTGCAACCTCGCGCCCAGCACAATTATTTAGAACGATTCGGTCGTTAACCACCCTGCCTCAGAGCAGACAAAAAATTACGGAATTGGATATAGGCTGTGAGGCGTTTGCGAGGCATTTTGCAGATAAAGTCTTGTCGCTCCGTCGTGACCTCCCAGCCACACTTGAGACAGTAGGTGAACTCGAGGCTCCTAGCACGTCTTCTGGTCCCATTCTGGATTGTTTCGGCCCTCTCAGTCTAGAGGAGGTTGACAGATTGGTCTTAGTTGTGCACCCAACTACTTGCAACCTTGATCCGTGCCCCTCCTGGCTGATTAAAGCTGGCCGAGAGGGGCTGCGAGGTCCTCTGCGGGATATTGTGAACAGATCCCTCTTGGAGGGCTCGTTCCCGGAGGCTCTCAAGGAGGCGATAGTCCGTCCTCTCCTAAAAAAACCAACACTGGACCCGGCCGATTTGGCCAACTACCGGCCGGTGTCCAATTTGCCTTATCTGGGCAAAGTAATAGAGAGGGCGGTGGCGACACAGCTGCAGGCCTTTCTGGATGACACCTCCGCGCTAGATCCGTTTCAGTCCGGCTTCCGCCCGGGCCACGGGACTGAGACAGTACTGGTAGCCCTCACGGATGACCTCCGTAGGCATCTGGATCGGGGCGGGAAGGCGGTGCTTCTGCTGTTGGATCTGTCGGCAGCGTTCGACATGGTCGATCACCAGTTGCTCGCCCACCGCCTCGCCGAAGTGGGGATACGGGGACTCGCCTTGCAGTGGCTTCTCTCCTTTCTCCATGGTCGGGGACAAAGGGTGGCGCTTGGCGGGAGTACATCCCAGAGGTACCCACTGGAATGTGGAGTGCCTCAGGGAGCTGTGCTCTCGCCAATGTTGTTCAACATCTATATGCGCCCCCTTGCCCAGATTGCCCGGAGGTATGGGCTGGGTTGTCATCAGTATGCGGATGACACCCAGCTCTATCTGTTGTTGGGAGGCCAGTCTGGCTCTGACCTGGAAAATCTGGATCGGGCGTTGCAGGACGTAGCGGACTGGCTTAGACGGAGTCGACTGCAACTAAATCCGACGAAGACGGAGGTCCTATGCCTGAATCGGAGCGGTACGGGGTTGGGGCTCCCACTTCCGGCCTTCGGTGGGGCGCCATTGGTGCCAGCTCCGAGGGTCCGGAGTTTGGGAGTGCTCCTGGATGCCTCCTTGACGATGGAGGCCCAGGTAGCAGCCACTGCCAAGGCAGCTTTTTACCATCTACGGCTGATTAGGCAGTTGGTCCCCTTCCTCGAACGCAAGGATCTGGCATCAGTGATCCATGCGATGGTCACCTCGAGATTGGATTACTGCAATGCTCTCTACATGGGGCTGCCCTTGGGGCACCTTCGGAAGCTGCAGCTGGTGCAGAATGCCGCAGCCCGGCTGTTGGTGGGTGCCTCTGTGAGGGACCACATCCAGCCTGTGCTGAGGGCGCTGCACTGGCTGCCAATAGCGTTCCGGATACGCTTCAAGGTGCTGGTTATGACCTTTAAAGCCCTTTATGGTCTGGGGCCTGCCTACCTGCGGGACCGCCTTTCTCCATATGTTCCCCCGAGAGCACTGAGATCCGAGTCACAAGATCGCTTAGTCCTCCCCGGCCCCAGGGATGCCAAATTAACATCCACCAGAACCAGGGCATTCTCCGTGGTAGCGCCTGTACTGTGGAACCAGCTCCCCCACGAGATCCGCGCCCTCTGGGATCTCTATCAGTTCCGGAGAGCTGTTAAGACAGAATTATTCCGCCAAGCGTTTGACAACTTGGACTGAGCATGCAGCACTTTATAGTCGCCATTCTGAATAAGTTTTATGGAGTGTAAAGTATGTTTTAATGTTTGTATTGATTGTTTTTAGAAGAGTTGTTTTATTGTATGATGTTGTACGCCGCCCTGAGCCGCTTCGGCGGGAGGGCGGGATAAAAATCAAATAAATAAATAAATAAATATTATGTCACACCCAAACTCAGGCCTCCTTGCAATGTTTATCTGTCATTCATGTAGGATTTGCGTGTGTCTCCTTTTTACCAATTATTTCTTATAGATTTCTGGTAGTATATTGATTTCATCAACAATGCATTCTGCCAAATACTGTTAAGCTTGTTGTTACTAGCTGGGGATTTCTTATTCCTCTAATTAGCAGCTATTACCATTTTTTTGCAGCTGTAAGCAACCTCAGGACCAGCTATACTTCTGAAGAGGATACATGTTTTTTAACATAGCCTAATAAAAAATTTCTGGTTCTAAGGAAATACTCCCAACATCTTATTAATAAATTAGATAACATACTGCCAAAAAGTTTTAATGTTAAGCATTTTTATTTATTTGTTTACTCTGCCTGCTTTTCTCCCCAGTGGGACCCAAAGCACCTGGCATCATTCTCCTTTCATCCATTTATCCCTCACGATAGCCCTGTGAGGTAGGTTAGCTGTAGAGTTTGTTCATGGCCCAAGGTCACATAGGAAGCTTCCTTGGCAGAATGGTGATTCAAACTAGGGTCTCCCAAAACTTAGTCCAACACTAACCACTACACCATGGTGGCTCTCCAGAAGATATGCATCCGATCTACATTTATCATTCCACATCTCCAACATAATCCTGAGCATTTCTATATATTAATGCCAATTCGTGAGGGGTTAGATGCCACTGAATGACATCAGGTTTTTAAAAATATATATATATTCACAGGAGGCACATTCATTTCATGTTGTGGGTAATATTATAGTTTTCTTAGTTTATCTGGTTATTTTTCTTTGTTTTAGAACCTGATTTATGACCTTTGGAATCAGAACTCAGGGGAACCATCAGCTTCTATTACTGGAGCATGTCATTCAATCTGTTTTATGGTAGCATTATTTATTCTTACCCTTTGACAAGAAGAACTGTTTCCTTTTTTCCCCCAGGCAGATGTACTGCCTTCTGTCTCAAAAGAGCGGCTTAATGTCCTTTTGGAAGAATATATGCAACCTCAAAGAACAATAACCAGACTTTTCCTGACAGCACCTGAGGGATCATTTTTTGATGGAATGAGCCCTCGATTTGACCAATCTGAAAACTCTACTCCAGAACCCAAGAATGACCTGTTAGATGACACTCATGGTGTGGGAATGTTTAGAAAGCAAGAAGTGGCTGAAACTATGGGTGAAGATGTATATTCAAAGGAAACACTGGAAACCACTGACTGTAATGACAGCAAGGCATTAGTGGTGTCGCAGTTGTCAGAGGAACCTGTGGCTGAGAAAAAAGAAAATGATGACCAAGAAGTTCAACAGGAGATGCTGTGTACTAGTAATTCTGCAGGATACTTCATGTCAATAGCCCTCAGCACAGACAAGCCAAAAAAGCCCTCTTTTCTTGATGAACCTTTTTATTGTACCAGCACGAACAATGAGTTATCCACAGATGTCGACATTCCTGGCATACTGTTGAAAACCAGAGGAGGTGAGGTTCTTAATAAACCTGTGGAATAAGCTTTTCATTATGATTTTAAAAAACTGGAACAGGTTCTCGACAAAGGTATGCACTAATGTATTATGATTACACTGGTAGGGCAAAAAGGTCTTTCGTAAGGCATAACACTATGCCAGAAATAACACAAAATTTGAAAATGTTTCTGACATTCTTGAACTGACATAAATAGCTGAGAGATTAGTTCTCTTATGAAAAACACTAAAATAATGATTTATTATGTCCATTAACACTGAGGGGATATACACATAACTTATCTCTTTAATAATAGATAAACAATGTTTTTTTCTTCTTCTTTCTGTTGATAAAGAGCACAAAAGGTCAACTGACAGTATTTCTTTTAACAGAATAAGCTCAGAGCTAGAACAGAAAAGTAATGGGATTTAAATAAAAAAAAAGAAAAGTAATGGGAAACGTAACCCTATGATAAGAAACAGAATTTTTCACTGTACTCTGAGCATACAGGTATAAATGTGCAGGTGTCCTGTGGAATCAGCTATATACATATGTCGACCGTGATCCTCTTTGGGCAGGTTAATGCCTACTGAGTATTCATTAGGGCTTTTGACTTTTTCCTTTAAACCACAACTCCTCATACTACATACTACACACATACTCGTATGTGATTCCAAAGTAGGTTGACAAGGGCCATGTGAACAATGAAAAAAGATCAGTGAAAAAAGCACTAGACATTCCATTATCTGATAATTTTGTACTTCTGGTAAGAATTATCCTGTCCTTATATATAATTGAGTTTTCGTCCCACGACGTTCTATGCATGCCAAAATAGGTTGCCCGCATGAACTGCCAGTCAGAAGACGCTGGCTGGGTTGGCTGGCTGCTTTGTGGACTCCCGCCCACGTCAGCCCCGGCCAGTGTCTTTGGCTCACTCTGCTGCGGTCCTCGAACAGGACAGGACCATCTGCAGGGTAAGCACAGGGGAAGGCCTTCACAGGCCCAGCACCGCCTTTCCCTGCCTGCCCGGCAAGCCGGATGGACGGGGAAGCGGCTGCCTTGGCCCCTGGGCCCCGGCAGCACTCCCTCCCTCGCTGCCACCCCACCGTTTGCCCCCACCCCACTTTTCCCCACTCAACCGCTGCACCCTGCCGCACACAGGCCACCAGCCGCCCACGGCCCACCTTTCCGTCCTCAACCGCCATGGTGAGCGGGGGGGGGAGCCTACTCTGGCCCCTGCTCACCTGCTACCACCACGCCCAGCCGCACACAGGCCGCCAGCCACTCCCGGCCAACATTCCCTCAACCGCAGCAGCAAGCTGCTGCGCCCAGTTACAAGGACCCCAACTGACAGCCGCTTGCCTGCCAGGTAACGACTGAACGCCCCCCTTCCCTCACCCTCTCTCCCTCTGTCTCTTCCACCGACCTCTTCCTCTTCTCTCTCTCCTTCTTTCCCTTCCTTCATTTGCTGTCGGACCCTCCCTCCCCCTTCTTCTTTAACTCTTCATTCCTCCCTATCTCTTTGCATTCCTTCCCTCCCCTATTTCCTTCCTCCCCATCTCTATGCATTCTTACCCGCTCCCTCCCCCTTTCTCTTCCTCCCTCCCTCCCTCCCTAGCTCCCTAACTCTTTCCATTCTTTACCTCCCTTCCTCATTCTCCCCTTCTTCCACCCCATCCCTTTCGATTCTTTCCCTCCCTCTTTCCTCATCTTCCCCTCACTCTTCCTTACTTCCTTTCTCTCTCTCAAATTCCTTCCTTCCTTCTACAGCTCCTTGTCTTCCCTCTACAACGGCCCTTCTTTTAGAGGTCAGGTCTACCCACCCCATCCCACTATATTGGTACACCTGCCCTCTGGAGAACAGGTCTACCCACCCCATTCCACTGTCTTAGTAGACCTGCCCTCTGGAGAGCAGGTCTACCCACCCGCTTCCACTATATTGGTAGACCTGGCCTCTGGAGAACAGGTCTACCCACCCCTCTCCACTATATTGGTAGACCTGGTCTACCAATGCAGTGGACTGGGGGGGAAGACCTGTTCTCCAGAGGCCAGGTCTACC